GCGGCGGGTTGCCCGGGCGGGGCGCGGTTCGGGGCACGGGGAGCGTTCGCAGGCGCGCACCCAGCTTGGCCTTTCCCGGTGCGCGGCCATCCCCTGAGCCGTGTCGGAGCGGGACGGCTTCCCGAGGGCCCTGGGACCGGCCTGGGGGAAAGGAAACCCCCAGCCCAGTTGGGAGCCCCGCGGGGATGCGCCACTGTTGCGCTCGCCGCGTTACGCCCCAGCGCTTCCTCCCGCCCACCTTTCCCCGCTGCCTTCGCTTTAGTTGCTAATTGACTAATATCTCTCCAGACAAAACGCCTTTTCTTACTAGCGTGTAGCCGAGACCTGCCTAGGGCTTGCGCTTACACACGTAAACCATTTATCTAACAGCGCTGCGTAGAAAAGTGTTAACTTCGGAACGTGAATTTCAGGCTGCTTTTAGTTTGCGTGGCTCGTGATTTTGGGATCAAGACGATCTCCAGAATTAACTTTTTTATTGTTAGCTATTGCATTGAAAAGGTTGCAGCGAGGAGAAGCGTAAGAAATCCGAGGGATTCTCAGAAATGGAGGGGGCTATTTTCAGTGGAGCTGATCCTCTCACTGGAAGCCATCTGGTGGGTGATCCCTGGGCTGCTGTGCTGCGCTGCTAGCGAACTGCTCAGGGGCATCCACGTCGGAGTTCGTCAGCGGAGCCAAAAGGCTGCCTGAGGAACCCAGTTTCCAGTTTGGAGCGCTAAAAGGGGTTTACAGGCTCCCCAGTTCCTGGGGGCTTGGGCTTCTAGAGATCACATACCCATGTTCAACCATGTTTTAAAAGTGACAAACACTGTTTTTTCTCCTCTTGCAGTAGATTCAGAAAACGAAGAACAAAAAAAGAGCAAAACCAAATGTATTTGCACAGACTTTTGTAGGAACACTGGTTTCTGTGAACTAGGGATCCTAACAGTGCTGCATGTCTTTTGTGAACAGGTGGAATCGCTTTATCCTCATCCTGGCTGGGTTGAATTAGATCCTGAAGTGCTGTGGAGTCAGTTTGTTGGTGTAATAAAAGAGGCTGTACAAGGTAACAGCTTATAAAGTTTGAGAAGCTAATGAATTATTCCTCAAAATTAGTAAAGTTAGATAATTAGATAATAAGATTACTTATTTTTGAAAAGGTACTGAAAAGTCATCACTGAGTACAGGTCTACAACATGCTTGAAGGCCTGTTCAATCATTATGTAAAATAGAACACTTCAGTTGCTTTTTCCCTTTCAGTGGGGCCAGATTAGGATTGAAGTAGAACCCGAAGCAGTGTGCATGCTCGATTTACATCAGTGACAGCACCTTGTTCCTCCAGCTTTTTGTATATGTATCCTTCCCCAGTGTCTGTGTTCCTTCTTCCGGATGTCTCTGTGTACAAACAGAATAGGCTTGTTTACCCTTCTGATTGCCCATTATTCTACTGCCGCTTTGTGTGTATCAATGTCAGTGAGAGAACGAAAGCAGGATGCTGCATAGTTGCGGTCGCTTGATTACAACCTGATATTCCTGCTTTTCCCTTTCAAACTACAAACAGTTCTTACCATCCGATTTCTGTATTATTGCTCTTTTCTATTTATACTTGCCTAAAATTTCCTAGTACTCCACCCGCTAAACACATACAACTCCCTTTTCTGCCAGACTTCTGATGTTCATTTCTCCTCCTACCCCCCAGCCTTTTCTGGATGCTACTCTAACTGTGCACTTACTCTCTACAACTCCCACAGCTTTCCCATTATACCAGCTCCAGCATTCTGTGATCCAGCATGGATCACCTTCTGTGCCATGCTGATGCTGTGGACCTGACAAGTGCACCCCAGCTTGCTTTCTCACAGTGGCCCAGCCTCCTTGTCATATGTATGGGCATCATACTCTTTCATTCAGTGCCTGAAGCTTGTCTGATTCAGCCCTTGTTGCAGTTTGGTCTCCAAGTGTTGCTCTGCCTCCAAGCCTGGCTCAAGGCAAAACTGCTCTTGTCCCTTCCTTTGGAAGGCAGCCTAGGGGACAGGGAAAGTAACTTTTAGCAGGTACAAGCTGCAGCTGATTATTTTGGGCTCTCGGTCTGCTTTCTCAGCAGCCACAACTGTTCTGTCACAAGAACAGCAATGCCACCTCAACCCGTAAAGACCTTACTAGTTTCCTCCTCTTGCATTCTGTGGGGAAAATCAGGAAGCAGGATTTTCAGCTAGTTTTAAAAGGGGAAGCTTTTCTTCTGGCCAGGCTGTGCGCACTGTTGGCAAGTCACTTTTAAATGGTTGTGTAACATAAGTGAGCATAAGCCCACGCTACTGTCAAAAGAAGCAGTCCCACCCTCCTTTTTACAGGGTTGTTTCAAGTCCAGGAGTTTCCTGAATCAAATCACTGTATGGCTGTTTATGCCAGCAGAGCTTCACCAATGTTTGTGCCAGCGCAAGAGAGGGTGTGGTAGCAGGGGCAGAAGTGACTGTCTGGAAGCAGGAAGAAGGCATAGGAGCACTTCAATTTACAGGACTAGTGGAGCTGAAACATGCAATTCCATGTGCAGGTGAATGGGCTGGTGTAGTTCAGTACTACCTAAAGGTGGAAACTGCATCTGGCTGCATGGTCCCTCTCTTGCTCTGGTACTAGTTCAACCCTTCCAGGAGACAGCTTAGCTGAAAAAAAACTGTGTTTGTCTTCTGTTTTGTGTTTCTCTTTAATGGAAATTAGCTCTATTCACATAGGGGTCTAGAGAGCAGGAGGAGTTGACACAGGGAAAGTGGTGGGAGCATGCAGGTTGTAGAGACGGGGAGGAGTAACACATGCCACTAATCCGTAGTGAGCTGTGGCAGTACTGGTGTGTCTTTGTCTTCAGTTTAGACTCAACTGCTACTGAAAAAGAAATACTGCTGTTCTCAAGCCACCCACTCCCAGGTCCTCCTCTTGTACGCTCCTGCTGCCAGCACCACTTGTGCAGGCAGTTGGAGCAGGTAGCCTTGTGAAAGCACTGATTTAATTTTCATCTGATTGAGTGCCTTGATACCACTGCCTGCATGAATGCAAGGACCAGTATAAGGGCCAGAAGCATGTGTAGAGGTTGGCAGAGCAAGACATGCCCTTTCTCTATGAAACTCCTTCTCTAATTGTCACTCAGAGGCTGTCGGTTGTAGAGTCTGCAGTATATACTTATGCAAATGAGTAATTTTGCGCATGAAAGTTAACATCAGAATATGTATGAGCAGGACATACTTAACCTGTGATTTGTTAAAGTAGTGGGATTGAGAGCCCTTCAGAGTAACAGTACTTTGGACAAAATAGGTAGTTTGTCATTGAAGTGGAATTTCTTAGTGTATATTTTTTTCATATAATTTGGCTTCTGGAATTATGCGTGGAGGTACTTGGGAAGCTGACCAGAGCTGCTTTAAAAATAGCTGTGGACATATTTAATGATTTATGGTTATATATATTAGAAAAAATGTTCTGTAACAGTTATTTGAAGGTAAGGTTTAACAGCAAAATTGGTATATACCCAAATGTACTTTTTTTTTTTTTATACTTCTGAATTTGACTTGTACTTCGCATTCAGTTATATGTGATTTAAGCAAATTTGTTCTTATGAATTTGGAAAGATTGCTTAATGAATATTTTAGCTGAAACATGTCATTATCAAAGTGATGTAAAAAATCATGGTATATTGGTATTAATCTCTCTACTGCCTACAGAATCAATCTAGTTTTGTTTCTTTATGGAATTTCTTTCCATAAGTTTGTAAAGGTACTTCTTCTGTTTGTGCTTTCATTCACATTTATCCATGTGAAATACATATTTTAGTTGATTATATAGGCATATATAATCTGCCTGCCTGTCTTCAGGATTGTTCAAGTAAAGTGTCAACAGGCTTTTCAGAAGGTGGAAAAGGTCAGTGTGCCACAACTGCTTTTGTAAAATACGTAGGTTTATTTATGTGCTTTGGAATCAGTTGTCTGACTCTGAGTTCTCTAATATTTCATTGTTCTGGCCACTTAGTTGAGCAGTCTGTAGAGATTTATATTCTGTTAAATTGTTAATTTCCTAAGTATTCCATAGGTTTTATAGTTATGTTGGAGAAGTTGTATTTTTGTTTGTTTCTTGAAAGAAATGCTTTTTTGTACATGGTTTGTTTTTTGGTTTTTAGCTGCGGGGCTTCACATGAGGCAAATAGCTGGTCTTGGCATCTCAACACAGAGAGCAACTTTCATTACGTGGCACAAGTATGTATATTGTGTGTTGTTTAAAATGAACTTGTATTCATTTGTGTTCATAGACTGGATGGAAGCAGACGGTAGAAATGTTGAACTCGGTCAAGTCACAACCTGAAAGCAACAAATGACGGTCACTCATGTTCTCTTGTGTTTGCACAGCCACACCTTACAGCAGTTCAGAACAGTTTATAAGCATATGTCCTTTTTGTTTTGTTCTTAGTACTTTGGAAGAGATGAATGCATACATATTTTTTAATTCTGGTGAGAAGTCTCACACTCAAAATGTGCCTATTACTAATTCCTCAAATCCGCCAGGAGGATATGCACTTACTTTAGGAATTGACCTAGTGTTAAGTGTCCTGACTGGAAATGGTGAATGATGTTGAATCTTTTGGGCAGTGTATGTTCTGTAGTTTTAAATGGGAACATTCAAATGCTGTTTTTCAGGAGGACAGGGAAACCTTTTCATAATTTCATAAGTTGGCAAGACTTAAGAAGTGCTGAACTTGTGAATTCCTGGAATAAGTCCCTTTTGCTGAAGGTAAAACTGTGCTAAGCTAGATACTGCTTGGACATATTAGAACTGTTTCATTTTTATGAAGAATAAGGGCAATATATGAAATACTGAAAGTGTCCTGTTAATATGGCATGCTGCAGCCTAAAAACATTTAACTGAGCAAGATTAGCATGGAAGATGGTACCAAGAAAAAATGCAGTGCTGATAGCCTGAAGGTAATTAATTATGGGAAAAGATAATCTGTAGGTCTAGCTTGCATTGTGTTACTTTTTAGTCTCTGTTGTATTAAAATGTTGCATGTTAACACTTGCTACAGCATAATTTTTGGATGTAGGTAGTTCTTGGTTGGCAGTGGTTTGGGGTTTTTGTTTGGTTTTGGTTAGGTGTTTTTTTTACGTACTCTTTGCTCAGATTCTGTATAGATGGTACATTTTATGCTACTCATGGCTTGTGCTTCATACCTTTAGAAGAGAAAGATTTGCTCTAAGTGGAAAAACTGAAGTTACTTTTCCTGTAAGTGGAAACTAACTGACACACTCACAATAAGTTAAATTCTTGGTTTTGCCACTCATTTCTTTTGTGAATTAAAACTTAATTAATGATTAAATTTGGTTCGTCTATTAAAACATGATTGAGCCTGTCTACTGTAGGACAACTTTCACTGGAATAACAGTATGTAATGCTGTCAACCGCATCATGCATTGTGCTCATACAGGTGACCTCTCTTCGTAAGGCAGAGCAGTCTCTATCAGTGTCCCAGTAGAAGTCAGTAAAACAGACTTGCTTAGTGCAGCTGCTCTTTACTGTGCTATTTGTTGTGGGATGGCTATCTGTTGAAATCCTATATAAGGATTCTCTAACAGAATTTTAGCTTTCTGAATCTAATCTCATGTCAGCAGCTTTCATCTGTGTTGTCATCCTTTAAAGGTAATTGATCAGAAACCTTTAAAGGGAGATTAAAAATTAAGTAACTGTTTTCTTTTGGCACAGGTAGTCCATGTTATTTTTACAGTGCTTCATTTCTTGACTGGGAATGATCGATACTTGGCACCAAGTTTTCTTACTTTTTCAACACAACAAACTTCTATGAAGTTGTCATGGGTTTTTAAAAACATACATGAGGTAAGCTGGAAAGGGAAAAATAACAACTGTCTTAAGTCATAATAATAGCTAGTGACTTCAGTTGTTTATAACCTCTTCAGTTTTGTCTTGCTTGTTCTTCTGAGAAGAACCAGAATGAAAGACTTTTATCTGTGTTAATGTTCAAAGCCTGTCTACCTAATTATCTATGCATGTTTATACAACTTTTTCCTCTGGTTCTGGAAATTTGTAGTAGTAAAAAGTTTTCCACGCATAAGAAACATAATCAAATCACCTTATTTCACTTGATATAATTACACAATTAGTAACTGTACTTTGTTTTAAAGTTGTTTGCACTCTAGTTTTGCATGACAATTTTATTTATTTTCAGCTGGCACTCTTTATCTTTCCACTCTGCATTATTCCAGTGTTTACAGTTTCACAAATAATATTGTACTGGACAATCAAACACTGCAAATTATTTTGCATTTTGTTGTAGCGTAAATTGGAAAATACATATAAAATAAGTTGTGCTGGAATAATCTAATGGACTACTGAGCACTGAGCTATTTGGTGCCATATGCTTTGCTCTCATCCTTACCATTTTTCTTTCTTCCTATTGTATTTATAACTTCAGTAATCTTATTTTCTATGTTAATTTTCAAGTTATTTTTGAAGAAAATGGTTATCATTGATTTTCTATCCTGTGTAAAGAAACCCTAAAATCTTTTGAGTTTTGTCTGGTATTTTCTGTCACAAAATGAATTATTGAGAAGGTCAAGTATAATTTTTTACTGGCATGTTTTGGTTGGACCTGTTGAAATTGTGAGGTGTGAATTTGGAGGATTATGGAATTGAAGGTTATGCAGCTGCTGAGTTTTCAGTGAGAGATGAACGTTCTCTCACATTTTGTCAGGCACTGATACTTAAAATATGTGGCTATCAAATCAAGAAGCTCAAAAATTCATGGTTCTTAATTACAGAGGGTAATGTATTCAGTCATGTTTTGAGTGAATTAGTTTGTATGTTCTTTTTATGAATTCTGTAGTTGTACACATCAGTTAGAAATCAGATGAAACCTGAAATTGAACTCTTTACAGACATCATAAACCAGAAAACAATGGCTCTGTCCTTATTGTTGTCAAGCACATACTGTAAAATACACTTATTTATTCTATTTCTGTTCATTTTTTATTTAAGTGCTGTGTGCAGGACCTTGTTTTCTTTATTCACCACTCCTTCACCACTGTTATAATTGTGACTATAAAGTTTCCCCCCTTAACGTTCTGATGCCACTACAGTATAAGATTAATTGCTTTTCTTTCCTTAGTAGCAACTGTAAGAAACTGTGCTTATTCTCTGCTAGGAGCATGAACTGTAGGATAATATTACTTATATAGCCAGCTTGCCCTTTTTAGAAGAAAAATTGGCAATCAGAGACTTATTTTCTGGGGACATTATCATTGACCATGAAGAAAATGAGAAAAGGAATCAGGAAATATGTTCCCCTTTATTGTACCCAGTTGTAAATACTTCTTTTGTATGTATATTTATTCCCAGGCTGAAGAAGCTGCCAAAAAAAATAACTGCTGCTTTGGAACAGTTGACACATGGTTACTGTACAGATTGACTAAAGGTGAATGCTACAGTTCCTCTTAAATATTAATAAAACATGCTGGAATCTAAGTGATGATGTTTATGACTGTCATTGATACATCCTAGAATTCAAATACTTTTTTGAAAATCTGTGGGTTTTTATAATTGATGAATATTGTAATATATTTACTGTTTAAAAAAAATAATTTCTGAATTAATTATTCATTGGGTCTGCCTGGAATGTTAGTCAGAAAGGGAAATAATTATTCAGTGTAATCAACCTTTTAAGCATTTAAGATTTAAAGAGGACTACCAGAACTACCTGGCCTTGATTGAAGAAAAGTACCTGTGAAAGCAAAAGAACAAAGAATTGTTAAAAATGTGGAAGAATTACAGGTTTCTGTCTTGAGGCCTAATGCCTGAATAGTTGGATAGATTATGAGGGACAGTTATGCAGTCAGTGCAGTACATGTTGTCAAAAGTACCATCTCTCTTCTAGCCAATTTCATGAGGGTACAATAAGGTAATTAATACATATACATTATAGTGAGCAGCAGGTGATGTTTGTGTGCTCATTGTATTGTTGTGACTTTGTCTATAGACACTCAGTTTATATTTCATGGGAGCCACTGAAATGTTTAAAGAAAAAGTATGTTTAAAATTTCTTTTAAATATTTGTATATCTAAAATCTTACTTTGTTCTTTTTTCTTTATGGTAGGTTCTGTGTATGCGACAGATTACTCAAATGCCAGTGCTACAGGCGTTTTTGAACCCTTTACGGTATGTGCTGTTCCAAAAAAATGTTGTTGCTATTTATTGTGCTTCTGAGAGAGTTGCTGACAGTTCTACTTTTTTCCATATTATTTCAGAAATGTTGGAACTCCACTTTGTGTAATTTACTTTCTATTCCAATGTCTATTTATCCACCAGTGAAAGACACAAGGTAAATATGAAGGCATATTCAAAAGAATATGATAACTGTTAAGTTAATTGCCTTTAGAAAAATACTACATAATCTGCACAGGCAAAGTAATATATAGAAACACCAATAAAATTAAATTATTTTTATATGCAGATGTACTTTTTTAACACTACATGCAAAACTTTACTTTTACTATCACTATTTCTTTAAGTGATATTTTTAGTGCTTTTTTTAAAACTAATTGATAGCGTTACCTTTCATATACGATGCAGACCCAGGCCTTATGTATCTGGATTTCATTTTACCAAAAAGGTCAATTTAGTGTTGTGATGTTTCTCCATAACGCTTGTTTTAAGCTTCAACTTCGGATCAGCTGACTCTGAAATATTTGGGGTACCTATTCCAATAATGGCAGTGGTGAGTGCAAATGTGTTCTTACTTAAATGTGTATATTTGTACCTAGGGTTTTTTATCTAGCTTTGATTTAATACTTGTTTGTTTAGTAAGTATTCTTTATTCCTTCTCTGTGACTTAACTACAGTAGAATTGGTTGTTGAATTTTTCTCCAAAAACTCAGTTTACAGTCTTAGGGGGAAAGGAGGAGAGAGGAGCAGGAAGGGATTTCTAGAGGTTGAGGTCCATTAAGGTTAGACGACCAAATGATTAAGCACTGAATGTGGGACTTAACAGAGCTGCGTTCTGCTCTGAGTTCTGGTAATGTGTCTCTCTGGCTTAAAATCAGTTGTTCTATATGAAGTTGTGCAATGAGGTCCGTTCTGGCTTGACTTCAGTAAGACTCTACACAATAGATCCACTTGTGGTACGTTTTATTTCTTTTTTTTTTTTTGACTAAAAATGAATGGTGAACAACATGTTCTTGCCTCAGTAGTTAGGATTTGGATAAGAAAACCACGTTTTTTTTGTCAAGTGATGACTTGTAGAAAAATCTGCTTGAATTGAGCTAAATGGAAAAAATGTCACCTAGCTAACATGAATTTTTCCTGCTATTTTTAAAGAACTATAGACTCAATTTATCTGTAAATTTACTGTTTCACGAAGGCACAAACACAAGTAAATACATTTAATAACCATCATTATTGTTGAAAAATTAAGCGTGGAATAATTTGGTATGGGAGAGGTAGCAGGGAAAAAGGAAGGTGAGACCTTATACTTCAACTTTCTATTTGTGGAAGAGGAATTCAAGCCAAGCTACTCTGTTCTGCTCCCTGGGATTGCAAATGCCCTGTTTATCCTTGTCAAATACTAAAACATAAAATATTTCTTTTGTTTCCATAACATATTTTTCAGTGTTGCAGCCAATACTACAGGCGTTCACATTGTGCCCAAACCTGGTGTAATTTGATTCTAGTGATAAATCTGACTGTTGGAAATGCCTGCAAATACTTAAGAAAGGACTCATATACAGTTTCTTAATGCTCAATTCCTTTCTGAATGGTTATTTGTATTCAGAACTCTGAAGTCTTTGCAATGATATTTTAAAATCCAGCAGCATTGTAGGTTGGTAGTTGGTACCTAACTTACTGTATTGTTTTTGTTGGTATGTCAGGTAGCAGATCAGCAGTCAGCTATGTTTGGAGAATGCTGCTTTCACCCAGGAGATGTTAAACTGACAATGGGAACAGGTGGTTTCTGGAATGTGAATACTGGAGAGCATCTCTTTGCATCACGGAGAGGTAAGATAGTGAAATTTTTGTTTTAGAGTACTTCACATTACTTGACAGCTGTTAATGATGAGGGTACAAAAAGGAATAAAACAGGGCTATGCTTTTCCTTCTGTCTTTAGGTGTAGAAAAACAGATTGAAAGTGTTTTCAGAACAGAAGGCTGTGGAAATTTTTTATTAGAAATGGTTATCCTGAAATACGCTTCTCAAGAAGATAATTTAAGTAACATCACTAGTAATTATGTCTGCATCCCTCCTTTTTTTTTTTGTTTTGTTTTGTTTTTCTTCACCTGTTCTTCTTGATAGCAGTATTATACAGTACAGGAATAGAGAAAAAGGGGATTGGTCCTCTGGCTTCTCACATCAAAATGTTCCAGTGGATCGCTGTAAGTTCCTCCTCTTGAACCCTTATGCTTTGAAGTACCTGCAGTGAGATAATGCAGGATTAGCAATTATTACTTTTCTTCTAAAATACTAGAAATGGGCTCCCCAATATGTTTCTAGTGTTTAAAACTTTGTTTTTCTGAACGTTTTTGTGATCTGTCAAGCTTGTTAGTTTGTCATAGATGGCTATTTGTCAAGAGAGCAACGGACAATACTGAAGTAAATTTGCTTGCACGGTTTCTCTCTGACATATTTTTAGAGTTAGTAATTTTAGGAAGCCTACAATTTAAAATGGGAGGGGTGGGGCTGGGGAGGATGACAGCAGTATGCTAAGGAGAATTCCAGCTGGTAAAGTCTGGAAGGACCTTGGCAAATACATGAGATGTGTCAGAACTGAATAGCATAGACATTGAATTCCCTATGAATGCAAATCCTTTTTAGGCTAATTAATCATGTCATTATGGTGATACTTTTACTTAGGAAAATGTATGTATGTAGTCTGTGGAAATGTAATGGCAAAAACATGCTGTAAGGTTTTTCTATTTGCTTCCTTTTAAGAAAATATTTAGCTATTGCGATCCAGTAGGAGCTGAAATCTTTAAGGCAGTGCTGTGAAACTTTTATGCGTTAGGCTGTTATTTATGTTAAAATTATTTTCCCTATGTTTTTTGGCTGTCATGTGGTATGGTTAGTAGGACAAGTTAAGTACATAGCTTTCTCAGTGCCCTGGGCATGAAATGTGATGTGTTCAATCTTTAAAGTTGACATATGTATTTAAGACTGCAAGATGAATCCCTATAGCATCCCTGTGCGAGCTATTCATTAGCTTCTGTTCTAGTTTCTGGTCTACATTTAGTTGCTATATGTGACAGTTTAAAAAAAAATAAAATGGTTTCTTCCAAGAACAACACTTCTCACAATTCAGTGATGGAAGTACATTGTATAGATTTAAAGTCTTATCTCTCTGGCAGTCTGATAGTTCTTAGTAACTCTGATCATGCCAAATGTCATGTCGATCTGTTCCCTAGAGGTAAATTATCTCAAGCTACTAGAGACTGATGTGAGCATTTTTAAGAAGGTCACGTGAGAGACTTCTCTGTCCCTAATTAGCTGTCCTTCTCTAGGACTCCTGGTGCAGTGAATTGTTTGGTCTTGATTCTTTGCAGCTTCACCTTTGGTAGAAAATAAAGATTGTAAGGGGGACCTGCACCAATGATCTGGAGATACGTATATCACTTTTTCAAGAGACAAATACAAACTTTAATCTGAACAGGTGCTCCTGATTGTTTTCCATTGTAAGCACCAGAGTGCCTCCAGCACTAACCCAAGTTTCCACAATTGCACTAGTACTACCATGCCACTCTTTGGACACAGGCGAGCAAACTGGAGATGATGCTGTGAGGCACGCTTCTGTATATCAGCAGAGTCACCTTGAGAAAGCAGAGAGAATCCCTAGATCCTTCTGATGCTTTTCTGGTCCTTTAGTTATTGGGACTCATGTACCTTTGTTGCATTACCCATGATCTCTTGAGTCCTGAGCAGCGTCCCATAAAGCCTGGGTGCTTTCTTCACTCCAACAGTTACCGTACTTGGGTTGGGTGAAGTTTTTATTGCAGTGGCCACTGAATGCTTAGGGTCTTACCAAGTGACCTGAAAAACCATTTGTCCAGCTGCAGTGCTGGAGAACATCTACTGTTCAGCTAGTTAACAAAGTCTTTTTGCTTTAGTATTAAAAGCAGTACTCTGCAGGACTTTTGTGCTATGTTCTTACTAATACAAATATCAAACAAGAACATCTTTGTGTTCACACTGACTGTTTTAAGTAGTGTGTCTCTCTTTTCTTTGTTAATGTTTCAACATATCCATGGGGGAGCAAGGGGGAGAACAAATCATCAGGTTTATCCTCATTATTGGCAGTTTATTTCTAATGTGCTAGTACCTTCAAGTAGACAGCTCTTTGAAAGGTGCTGTACTGTGTTTTCAAATAAACTAACAGTGTTTGCCCTATGTATTTCTGCCTTTCTTCTGAGGGAAAAGGAAAAAAAATTTCAAAGTAATTGAATTTTTTTTTTTGAGTCACTGCAAAGCCAAAACTATTTGGTGGAAATCATAACTTCCTGCAGATCCCATAATGTAAACCACAGAAGTGCTAATATTTTGTAATTACAGCCAAAATATGTCACCAAATATTTTTAATCAGTTTGGGTGTTTCTTTTGTTTTTCACATTAGGGAAACATACAGGTAAAATGATATAGCTAACTGTCAGTAGCCTTTGTTGGGGACAAAGGTGGGCAAATTGTGAAACTTGTTTTCGTTTTTGCTTTCTATGTGAGGAAGCATTGCATATTGTATCACTTTCATCCTCTTCTAAGAATAAGACCTATGTTCTAAGTTTGCGTTGCCTTTTTTTGTGTGTGTGTGTATATGTCTGTTTTAGTGTTTGTGCTTCCCGTCTGAAAGCCCAGCCTTCATGTTTTATGTTTTGGGGAAACCGTTAGGGAAAATTAGATGGATTTAAAACAAATAGGAAAACATTGATAAATTTTTAAGTATATACAATCTCTTATCATACTAAAAAAAAAACCAGTAAGTGCAGATAGCTCTTCTCTTTAGTTTAAGGAGGGTTATTTTGTAATTTGATAGTGTTTTGGGATTTTTTTAGGTTAACTTTGGTTTAACAAGCTGTTGTTCAAGTCTCCTGTAATGCCATCACTAAATATTTAAACAATATGTTTAACCTTTATCAGTGACTTTTTTTTTTTTTTTTTTAGCTTGAATTTTGTAAAGGAATTGAATAAAAAATTTTTTTTTTTAGTTGGGTTTATTGTGGGGGGTGCTTGTATATGTTTTTCTGGAAACATTTAATTGAACTAGGTGTTTTGTTTTGTTTCATGGAAAATAATTAAGGTCTGTATCCACTGATTGGTTGGAAGATTGGGGAAGAAGTTGTTTACTTAACTGAAGGCTGTATGTCAGACATTGGCACTGCCATAAAATGGGCTCAGGATATAAGTAAGTCATTCTTTAATTTTATAGAGGGTAAAATATATTACTACTTAAGAAACTGTTTTATGTTACTGGCCTTGGGTTTATTATCCATAATTGAAGAAACTAGCCTACATGTTTTGGACAGTGGAAAATGCACAGTCTTATTAGTAGGTCCTTTGCTGAGTGTGTTTACTGCAGGGAGTTTGGTTTGCACAATCATCTCTTCTTCAGACTCTGCCACTCAGACCCTCCTACCTGTGTAGGCTTTTACTTTCCTGAAACATTTTACTCCTCGCTTGCTTTCTCTTGAGCATGACAAAATCCTGATGCCTTCTTTTGTCTTTTTTAAAGCTGGTATCCAGACCTGAATAGAAATGGTGTGAAGGAGACCTGTCTAAAGTTAGATGTGTGCTGTTTTAGGGTATTGGGACTTGAATTTTTAGTTGAGGAGAAGCACAGAAATTGACTACCGATTAAATCTAGGTAGCATGATTTTAAGTGCAGTATTCCACAAATGCTGTAATGCTTTTGAGAGATCTCTAGCTGTACATCTTGGAATTAGTAACAGGTTTGAGTTATGTGAAAATAACATGAAGAACCTTATTTTTAAAAGTAATGGTGTTGTGTATGTTGCTTCACGTAGAAGTAATGTGCCTGTTGGCTGTGACTGTTATGTAATGAAAAGATTTGCATTCCAATTTAATAAAAGACTAAGCAAAATACTAACACAGTAGTAGCTGATGTTCAAAACCACTGATTGTTTATAGGACAACAGTTCTAAGTGTTCTAACAGACTGCTTACCTGGTTTACTTGGAAATTTAGTACTCCTTTACTGGGATACAAAACATGAATTAGTGTCTCAAACCTTGGGTTATCTGGGGAAGGTTTTCCTGAAGCGTAGCTCACCGCAAAATTCCACATTTCTTGAAGTTGTCAGCTTCTGGTGCATATGTGTATATACATGCTCAGGTATGTGCCCTTAAGAACTAAGCAGGACTCAGATTGGTCCTCAGGTCTTCATTGTTCAATGTTTGACTGAGCCTAGAGAATAACAGCCACTAGGCTTTGAGGAAATTACTCAATTCAATACACAGTTCAGTGCTGCAAATAGAAGATTCAGTGGTACATATATAAGCTTGCTATTTCAAATTCCATAATTTAAATGGATACTTATCCATATGGAACTTACCAGTACTTAAAATGGATGATACTGGTATATGCAGAGCAAGAGTATAAAGGATTTTTAGCTAGCTAGTAGTGAAATGGACATGACCTACAGTTGTTACCACAGGCAAAAACTGGGGAAGTTTTAGAGGGACATAAAAAAATAGGCATGCTGCTTTAAACTCTCTAATAAGCAAGACCTTTATTTTCTGGAAATATGATTGTAGAGAAGCAGAATTCAGAAACTTTTATCAGCTTTACAAATAAAGAGAAGGGTAAAACTTTTGCTCTACAGAAGAAATTGGGCCAAAACACAAAGTAAGCTAATGGCCTCAGTAAGGATGATGAGGCTCAACATGGATGAAGATGAGACATATAATAGTGGTAAAGGTTTGGAAATAGGAATTTCTGCAGCAAGACAAACTTAATTTAATGTGCTTCTTTTAGTGGGATCAGATCCATTTTAAGAATTTTGAAAAAGTAGTATCTGGAATGTCAAGGTGAAGTCAATCTTACTTAATTTTTTCATTTTTTGTCCTGGCATAGAGGTTCTAGATATAGTTCAGTAATAGCAAATACAATACGAAGGAAAAGATGTGATTTAGGCTTGTTAGTCTGGGCACAGTAGAATGCAAAGCTTTCAAACAAATTTGTGAAAGTTTCAAAGGTAAATTGACACTCCTGGTAAGTTACCAAGATGGGTTTTTCAAAGATAAATTGAGCTAGATTAACCTAATTTATCTTTGATAGGAGAATTTACTTTTTAGACAAGAAGAGCAATAGCTCTCATTTAGACCTATAGTCTTCTGTAAAAAGATGTTATGTGGCCATGTAAGGCATTATTAAAACTACAGAAGATGGGTGTTAGTAGAAGAATTGCATGTGGGTGCAGAACTAGCTAAAGAGGGTTGTCTATAGAGTTGTGTAAGGGGACATATGGCTAGACAGAGGATAAAAGTAGTGTCTATCAAAGAGGTCATACTAGGACCTACCTTATTTATATTTATGTATCAGTTACTTGTGAAAATATTAAGGGTGCTGATAAAACATGGTGGGTATTAAGGACTTTCTCAGTAGTCATTTGGTGCTTGGGCTGACAATAACAACATCTTTGGGGGAAGAAAACATGGTTTATGTTTTGCAAATACAGGTTTTTAGCATACTTAGGGTGCCATTGTTAGCATTCTCAATTCCCATTTTTGTCTATTTGGAAAGCTAATGATCTCTTACAGGATGCAAAGATTAAAAGGCTATAGCATAACAGATACGAGAGGATACTTTTGAGTTTAGTCTTCATCTGATTAGTTTTTTGTTTGTTTTTTTTTTTTAATGTGACTGATGGACATGAAATACAGGAGAAGTGATTACTTTCCTTAGAACACGTAGTTCGAGCATATTACAAAAGGAAATAGTCTAACTCTAGATTTTTGTCTCTTAGTAACATATGAAGAAATTGAAGTAAATAATAAAAGCATATGACTTATGCGTCTTTACAGATCTTTTCACCAATGTAGATGAAACGGCAAAAATGGCACGGAGTATTGTTGATTCTCAAGGCGTTTGTTTTGTTCCAGGTTTTCAGGTAAAAAAACTATTATTAATATAATTGAGAATATATTTTTCATAACCCAGTTAAAATTTTAACTTTTACTTGTTTAAGGTAGCAATTTACATCTTATCACAGTATTTATTCTGTACTACTCGGGTTCTTATTGTCTGTCCCTCACCACAACATATGAAGATCATTGTCATATCAGAATGGTTAAACACCAGCCCTGCCGTGAGAAAAACCCTACAAAATAGGAAAATTACTTCCATTTTGCAAATGGAGACCTGAGGGACAGATAAACTAAATGACTTGCCCACAGTAACTTGGGCAGTGCCTGCAGAGACAGAAACTGATCCCATAGCTTTTCTGCCTCAGGCAGAGCCTTGAGACAATACTTCTAAGCACTGTTCTAAACTGATTCATTTTATTCTGCCTCTTTTCAAGATGTAGGTTGCAATTCATCCAAGTATTTAAACGTACTTAAATATGAGCAAGATTGCAAGTCCTGGTGTTATGAAAAGCAAAGTTAGTAGTACTTGGACACTTCTACTGGGAATGATCAAACTGAATATGGTAGACTTTTTTCTTAGAAGTCTTAGTAATTCATTGGTTTGAAAGTATACCAACTCATCTCTCTGTGTGTTTCTAAAAGTTTTGTTTGTTGGGTTTTTTTGATCTTCATTGCTCTACCATACTCAGTTTGATCATTTCCAGAGCTAGTGTTTTTTTCTAAAGAAACGTAACATCCTTAAGCTTACCTTTGTGTAAGTCCTGTATGTTAATGGAACAAGGCAAAGAAAAATTTCATTTCTTCTACAGGTGGCCCATCTACCTTCTCTTAAACAGCTGCCTTAATCATTAGATCTATTTTTAGGGGTATAGAGCTTGATTATGCCAAGATGCTTCCATTTAGCATTTACTGTGAGTAATTGTGCTATGAATAAGCAAGCGTTGAGCCATGCCAAATTCCAATATTTGCAGACAGGAATTCTGAGGTAGACAAATGTTAGTCTGAAGCTTTTTTGAACCTTTAATTCTATTAATATTCAAGTTCTAGAGATGTTGGTTAAAATTCTTGTTTGTTCAGTTTTTGTTTATTTTTGCGGGTTTTTCTGCCCCTCGCTTTCTTGACACTGTCTCCAGAAGGAACCCCTGCTAACTTCTTGGTAAACATTGATTCAATCTCTTTTTTTCCCTAATTCTAATACTCCCAGTCCAAATTTAGAAGCTGTACTTAGAAAACAGAATAGATTTGTCTTTAACTGTGACATCTAGTAACCGCTAACAGTATCCACCAATGTGGATTTCTTTGCCTTTTGAAAGCCCTGTTTATTCCAGCGGACTGTGCTTATTTAGTAGCCTCACAGTAACAGATTCTGTATCAGTTTAGAAACTGAGTGGATTAAATGGCATGAAAAGGGACATGAACAGAGTTCAACACTTCTGGGACTGTAGTGTATCTTTTTAGCTTCACTGGCTAGATGTTAACACAAATTGATTCTATTATAATGTTTCTTAGACCTCAGAATAATAGTAGTTAGGGAGGGTTCTTATGAAGCTCATATGTTGATTTCCTACACAGAGTAAAATGTTTCTCTATTCGTCCATATTAAGGCAATAAGAACAAGTTTCTTTCTTACGGATTCTACTGCTGTGGTGAAGTGCACCAAGAGGAGCGTCGTTGTGAAAGTGTATTTGAAATTGAGTGAATATGTACATTAATCATTTTTCCTTTTACTCATTCTGCTAGAAACAGACAGGGGTTTCCAGGCTTAATTTGCTGTGGTTAATAGTAACAAGAAAAACTTAGGACTTTTCTTTGGGGTGTCTGCATATTTATATAAATATATATGCATTTTTTCTTTTTTTTTTTTAAAGTTTTTTTTTTTTAAAGATTGATTCTTTCAGGATACTCACCCTTATGTAGAATATAAGTCTATACTTTTTATTTGTTATCTTGTATATGAAAATCTTTAAACTTGGAAGCTGTGAATCCTTATTATGCTACTGGGCTGGACAAGTGGTTCCATTCTTAGAATGGGAAGGGTACTTGTATATGGAAAAAAATTTTAATATTTTCTTTGACTTTAATGCAGAAGTTTCTTCTATTTAGGAACTTTTGCAAAATGCCAGTTTTTCTTTTGGCTGTGTGTATCTATCCGTAGGTCATTTTTAAATTGTTTTTAACATATGAGAGCATTTTCTTAACTTTATAAATATGTATGTGTGTATTTTATAAGCATGAAATTCAGGCTTCTGGTGAGTATTGTCATAATTGATATTTAGCACAATACAACTAGAATGGATTGTTTCAATTTAAAAATTACTATCTACGGTGAAAATAAGATTTAACATTGTCACAAACCAGGTACAGACCAGCAAACTAATATTTTGTGATGAAGTTCGTCAGAGGAGTGGAGGGGTGAGGATGAGATTCATCAATCAATCTTCTAGTTCTCCTGCAAAAAAAAGACAATGTAGTGACCATTAGAATTTTAGTTTGAGTCTGTTTATCAGTGTCACTGATAACAGGCTGTAGTATAAACTAATAAAAAGTATTACCATCCTTTTCAGTGTTACTTTTAAAAGACAGTTCATCTTTCAGCAGTTCAGGAGTGTTTAAAAAAATAAAAAAAAGGGGGGTGTGTGTGAAATCTTGCTAGAGAGGAGCAATATCAGTGTGCCCTGTCCTAGACACTTAAAGTGTACACTATATGTATTTTAAAGAGAAATCATACAGATTAGTGTTATTTAGTATGTCAAATTGGCAAGAAGTCACGTAAACCTTTTGCTGTTGAAAGAAGCTATTTAAACTGTTCACTGAGTTAGCTGAAATAACACTATATACCTCTTACATATTGTTTTCAATTTTCTTCTTTCACTATGCTGCCTGTAATTGTCGTAAGTTATTTTTTTTTTCCTCTTACTATTTGACTCCTTTCTCAAAAGCCTACAAATACAATTCACTGAACTCGTGGTGAAATCTTCTCTGCAGGTTTCTGTGAATGACCCATATTTATGTGCCTCTTTCACGGGGCTGAAACCTTCCACTACCAGAAGCCATCTTGTACGAGCTATATTGGAATCTGTAGCTTTCAGGTACTGTTTGCTTAATTATCTTGCTTATATTTTCTTATGTTTGCTTTTATTTTCACCAGCAATGTTAAATGGATACATGAACTTCTGCAGTTTGTAAAATATCAATCGGAGTAATCCATTACTGTTACATTGAAAAGGAGTTTTAGCTGCTTCCCTTTTTTTTCTTTAACGCTTTACAAACTTGTATATATTTTTAGTTCAGAATTTTTGTTATTAAGTAACCACATACAGATTCTTAAAATACATTGTTTTCTGCATGTTCTAAAAATGTTTTCTGTTTAAAGTTTGTCCTTACTCTCCTGACAGTGTTTTTTCAGAAGCTGTAGCCCACTCCAGCTGTGTTTAAAGCATCCCTGAAGCTGGAAGTTTTCTATTAGCTCTTTGCCTAAAGTTTGAAATTTCGGTGTTTTATAGAACATGGTAATAGGTAGGCATCTTAAACATCTTTAAAGATGTGAGTGGACAAAAAATTCCAGATCTAACTGTCAAGGTTAAAGATATTACTGCTAGTCACTGATGATACCACATCAGTAGCTCACTGTGGAACAGATTGGTTCTGCCTTGCAAACCCACCCATCATGCCTCAAACTGAAGTTGAATATGGTTTGAGCCTGGCTCACACTGCACTGTGGCCAATTGGGGAGCACTGGTATGATTCCTTCCATCTAGTCATCAGCTCTGCTTTGGGCATAATAACCTCCTGCAAAGAGGCAAAAAGGATGTCTGGAGGAAGGTAACATTCTGAATTGCTGCAACAATGCATATGGGGTTTTTTCTGCACTTGTAAGAGGAACAAGAGATGCAGTAATTCCTGAACTGAAGCATGGGTCTCTTGAAAACAGGTCTCTTACCTCATTCAAATATCTAACTAGAAAAGGGTAGGGATTCTTTGTGTTTAGATTTTCTCGCATTAAATGAAATGGTTTCAGAACAAGTCAAACTTACAGCCTTCAGACGTTCCCCTTAAAGAACAGCTAGATAAACTCCATTTTACACTCTGTCAGCCTACTTTTCTCACTCTAAACCACTTGTTACATTGACAATTGCATCTTGTCTGTAGAAACCTAACAGCAATTTCAGATGGGAAAAATGTACCTTCTACAGTGACTTGCTATAGAATGGGCTGTGATTTAGCCATACATGTCCCTCCGTAATGATGTGTAACAAAGACCAGTTTCAGTCTTTTTTTCCTTTTTAATTATGCATTCTGGAAACTTGTTAGCTATTGCAGCAGTTCTGACACAACTGAGGCATTTTTTGCCCTGTATTTTATTTTCTGACTATGTAAATACTGGAAACACTTTATGGAATATATAATACTTAATTCAACTAAATATTTTTTTAAAGAAACAAACAGCTTTATGATACCATTGTGAAGAAGGTACGCATTCCTCTTCAAACTATTCGGTAAGTTCCATTAACTTGTAGATTTGTTATATAGAAGTTTGATTTTAAATAGGCGTGAACTTTATTACACATTTTATCTTACTGTAAAAATTCTGCTGCTGAGAAATAGATGATTACCAAGCCAAATGTTAATGTAACTTAAGTGGCAGTAGATTCTACCCAGAGAAGGGTTGGTTCTTAATTAAACTGTTGGCATTAGTGATTGTCAGTAGGTGAGTAATGAATTGCTCTAATTAGTAAAAAAAGGCAAATCCGTGTTTTCAGGTAGCACTAGAGTGCATATAGCAATGCCTACCACAAAGGTCTTTTACCCTTTATTATCATTCTTCCATACTGAAATTTTTTGTGCTGGGTCTCTCATGGACTGAATATTTTTTGAAGATGTCAGTTAAAACTGGATCTATTTGTGAGGGAAAGAGGGAGAATATTTTTGCAATTCAATTGTTAAGACGTTGGTTTTGCTTCAATCTTTGAAGAAGCAAATCAAATTTAGTGAGGTAACGGTGATCCCTAGAACATGCTTTTCACAACATCTTGAAAAAATTTAGCTGATTTATGTGTTGCTGGAAAACTATGTTGCATATTTTGGTAGGTACTTTGCTTGAACACACCAGTTGTCTTAAAGTCTCAAGCCCTCTCACGCTGAGAAGGCTCTCCAGAATTTCTCCTTCTGGCAGCCAGGGGTCATCGCGATGCCACGGTCAAGAACATCGAGGAGAGCTTGTGGCTTTTTTCCTGATACCCGTGCAAAGGAAGAAATAGACAGAAATGGAGACAGTTGAGAGATCAGACTTTTGAGTAGTGGAAGAAAAGTGAAAGTACAAAGTGGGGGGAGGTAAAAGTTTCTGTCTTCCATCACATACTGGGACAGAGTAGGCAAAGATGAAGGAACAGCCAGGCTTGGGGTTTTAATGAAGAGGAAAAGATTAAAAGTATTGGAATTTTTGATTCCTTAGGAAGCTTTTTTACATAGAAAATTGCATCCAGAATTTGAGAAGTCATGTTAAGACTGCAAATTAAAAAATGGGAAGTGTGGAAGTACTGCCTAGGGAATAATAGAATCCTGATCGCATTTACATTATAATGTAAACTGTAAATTGTATGATTATATTCTGTTCTATTAATATAAAATTGCTGTTTCATATAGTGACTGTAATAGTTAACTATGATCGGTAGCAATTCAGCTTATGGATTAAGCATTACAAGATAATGGGATACACTTAATGGATTTTTTCAGTAGGGTTGTAAACTGATCTCCCATCCTTTTGTCCACACATCTTTAGTATCTATCCATTAACTTTTATTTTTTCGTTGTTGTTGTTTTTATCCCATAAACATGGTCATTCCCTTTTTAGCTATTGTCCTGTATCCCTTGTTTCTTCCCAGTCTCTGGCTCCTACAAGCTCCTACGAAGTTGTCATTTTCATTAGTCCTCTACATTCCTATTAGTTCTCTTTGCTTCATCTCAACATCGTCAAGGAAAGCACAGAGAAGGAACCCTCATTTTTAGTCCTCACGTCCTACGTTGTAGCAGTCTGCGGCAGCCTTTACAAGGATGATCCTGGTGATCCCTGGAGTCCTGGAATGTCACCTATTTACTTGTTCTGTGAAGTAGCACATCCCCAGTCAAATGGCATGTAGGAACTTTGAGCTAGAAGATGTACTGTACAGACTGAATCTTCAAAGTATCTAGCAGCAAAATTCAGCTAAATGTAAAACTGAGTATTTGGAAATTTTCTTTCTTTTTTCCCCTTGTAACTTGAATCAAATGGACGTCTTATTTTTACAGAAGAAGGAAAATACATGTCACTGGCATTAAGAAAGTGACTTTGCCAGTTAAAGGGTTTTATGCTGTAGTGCAGAGGTGGTAACCCTGCATGTACAATTGTACAAACAAGCAAAACCCGGTAACATCACCAATCAGGCAGTGTCTCCTGATTTTACTTTCAGAAACGGCCAAAACATTTATGCAAAAGTTTTCTGAGGCATCATGTAGGATAGAAGATTTCAGCTGGCATATATTGAAGATTTCTAAGCAGCTGTTGAGTTTTATTACCCAACACTTTCTATAGTAATAAACAGTAGATGTCTTTACCACGCCACATTTGACAGAACAGCTCCATACCTGGCTGGTATTGGAGTCCAACAGCATAACGAACCAATCTATGACAATTCAAAGATTGCTTTTTGTTATAGTTATTTTTTGTTTGCAAGAGTGATTACTTTGCACCACTAGTAATCACTCTCAGATGATTAAAGATCAGCATTGATAAGTTCTAATTTTCTCCATTAAAAGGGTCTCCAACATGATGCAATCGGGAAAATAGGTAGATGGAAGCCTCATTCTCATCTTCCTCATAAAAAGAAGCAACCGTGAAGGCATTTTAGCTAACTAGTACAAACATTTGGTAGTAATGAAAAAAAGTACTTTTCCTGTTCTGAGAACACTTGAAAGGGTTTGTTTAATGTAATGGTTTTGACTGTTGTCATGTTGTGGTGATAACTATGTGAAGGTTCTCTTATAAACCCTAATGTTTCAACCAGGATGATGTAGAGTTTTAGAAGACAGAGCTTTCAAAGCTTTTGATAATGTGTCTGTCCTATGTCCCTGTCTGTCTACCATTACTCCCCCAGTTTATAGGCATTCTTTTTTTCTCTAGGCACCTTGTGCCAGCCTCTAAATTTGCCCATAAAATGGAAATGTATTTGTGCATGAGTGACAGGAAGATTTATGCATAGGTGTGAAAACCTAGAAGTTGTTTTCAGTAATGTTGGCAATAAGCATTTGAACTAAATGCATTTTTTTAACTTCTTTTTCCCCTCTCCCTATAGAGCTGATGGAGGTGTCAGTAATAATAGTTTTGTCATGCAGATGACTTCAGATTTAATTAATAAGAAAATAGAAAAACCTGCAAATGCAGACATGTCTAGTCTTGGTGCAGCTTTTCTAGCAGGCCTTGCTTCAGGTATGTATACATTTAAAGGGGTTTTGTTTTTCCCTTCATAATGCATGTTTGTAAATACAGAGGAAAAAAAAACAACAGACAAAACCAGGGCATAACTTCAAATAATTGTAAAAACTTCCCAAAGGATTACTTTAGCCATTTTTGTGGGAATCCAAGGTAAGCAGTGTTCGTGTTTCACTGTATAGTGCTTTGTACCCATGTACTGGTATTTGATGGACCAAAGAACAGGTGGTAACATCATACATAAGCCAAATCAAGGACTTTATTTGTATTTCTAACACAACGTCCCAATATGCTGAGCAGTTGTGTGCTTGTTTAGTTTTACATAAATGAATAGTGACAGTGAGTTTAATGGGAAAAGTGTCTGTGTATATGTTTGTAAGATTCATTTACATTCAGAAGGATACACTACTGGAGAAGAAAGAAGTGAACCCTGTCTTTGCTGCCTCCCTGTTTCTTGACCCGGACACCCTGCATCCCTTCCCATATTTGCACTGCCTGGAGCGGTGCTCAGTGGGGATGCGTCATGTGAGGAGGAAGCTTACGTGCAGCTGTGTCATTCCTACTGAAGCTGTGTCCTGTCATCTGTGAACCGAGTCTTTATTCTTCATGGTTTTCACAGAAATTAACACAATGGAAGTACAAAGTAAATTATTAATAGGAAAAAAGAATCCAACTCTACTCACACAGAATTGTTCTATATAATTAACCAGACTTAAAACTACAAACTCTCAATGGTTTTGCTTAATATCCATCTACAAAATAAACTTTCATTAACTTCATTAAATTGCTTTGATAAGTAAATAACACAACTGGAAGATAAAAACGATATGCTCAGGTAAGACTTAGCAATTAAAACTGCAAGAAAGCTGCAGCCCTTGACAGACAATGATTCAATAACATAAATTAATCTGAATACATAACACCAGCTGTTGTCTGCCATTTGTGCAATTTTTAAGATGGTAGGAAAGCAACTAGTGCTAAGTCTTGGTTTCTGTGGCCCTTCTTCATTGAGAGGGAGCTGCAGCCGAAAGCACAGTGTAGATGAAACCTAAGGGAACTTCAGTGTACCAGAGCTGTTCCTTGGAAACCATCCCAGTTAAGCAGATGTGCTGTTGTCAGGATTCCAAACAAGTGGATGCTATTGGAAAGGAGTTTCACAATGTTAAAAATATGCTTCCCTCTGAGAAAGTTGTTGGTTGAGTAAAGAAAAGCTGTCATGATTTCTTACTGTGTTTCTGCTTTGGATCGCTTGGAAATAAATTAAAACAACTCAAAAATAACATATTTGCAGTTGAGCTTCAGAATGAACTTTCTGCTTATAGGATTTTGGACTGACAAAGAACAACTAAAGAAGCTAAGGCGAATAGAAGCAGTTTTTGAGCCCCAGAAGGACTTGGAGGAATACAAACCTGCTATGGATACCTGGCTACAAGCAATGAAACACTCCCCACGCTGGTAGAAATTGACATTTTAATTATAGAAGAATTAAAATGTTTTAATTCAAGGTTATAAAATCTTGACATTAACAGAACAGAACAGTAAAAACTGTAACTGAAATTTGTGATGGTATATATATAAAACTATACAGTACTTCAGTTACCCCCCTGCTGCTAGATTACTTACCACACCATAATGAACCTTCATATCATCCCTATGACAGCTGTAGTCCAGCTGCAGCATTTGTGTCCCTTCAGTGACCTCCTTTGGGTGGCCCAGCTGCTTGAATCCTACCATGTATTAGAGATAGGGAGTTTTTTCCTATCATGAGTTTTCTACTGAGGAGCTTGCCTCCATTTGGATTTTTAATATATGTGGTATGTTAATCATCAAGGAAGGGTTAAAGGCACATGCGCTTCCCTAGGCATTTCTAAGAAACGTAAAACAATTGTTGGGGGGTGGGTTGTGATGAACTTGATTGTGTACAAAGATATTTTCTTATTAGTAGCCTGTTACCACCTTTTGGTTGACTTTCTAAGGAAGCATTTGATCCAGCTCTGTGATGACATTTTTGTGCACTAAATTAAGATGAAATACAAAAGTAAGTAGGCCTTCAGTACCCCATTAAAAAAAAAAAATCAGGATTTTTGTAGCTGATGGTTCCTATCTAGCTTGTAGCTCAATTTTTTAAAATTTTATAAAGACCAAAAGCTATATTACCTGGCATGGCTAATACAAATACATTAAAAGTAGTTGAAGGTATGCTATCTAACTTGTAAAAATCTGTAACATTAGTATTTTCAAGCCCATTGTTAAATCCTAGTAGTATTATTAACTAAAGGGGGGGTCAAAAGTCTATTTTTGAAGCTATGAATTACTTTTCTATTTTTTAAACAAATAAATTATAATTAAAGAAATGTGTAGTTAATTATTCTTATGTATTTCTTTATCAGTAATCTTAAATTACAATAATTTTCTCAGGAGTATGTGTAAATCAGCTTCAAAAATGTAAAATTATTAAACAGCTTAATTTCAGAATAATATCAAATTCAAGCTGTGGGTGATTGTGTTCCACGGGCACTGGAGAAAATAAATGTTTATAGATTTAACATTACTGAAGAAGGCCAAAGAACTATCATTCGCTTTTTCTTGTGCTGAAATATGGAAGGTCAAATCATACACCATTCCCTCAGTTTCTTTCACAGTCATCTACTCTGAGTTGGCACATCTACTCTAGCTGTGGTGTTCTTCAAACTAGATCTCATTTGCCTGTCACCCTTAGTTTAACATACCATTTTTTTAATTCTTCTGTTACTTTCTCTCCTTCAACCTGTGCTATGTCTTGGCACATTTTTTTTTCCGCTGGGTATCCTTCAAGTTGCAGAGACCATTCTCTCCTGAACCTACTCCACTGGGGATCCTGAACTGAAGTTCAGGAACAGGTCTGTTTGCTGATTTCTAGTAATATGGCAGACTATACAATCTATATGGTTGATTTCTTTTTGGACCATAAAGTATGGCTGTCCAGGTGCCAAGACTCTAATGTATATAAAGTCCATTGATGAGGTTCTCTCCAGTCTTCCTCCTGCTGTAAGGTAAGAGCCTGTAGTTACAGGATATGTGGAACACTTGCTTTGCTTCAACACCTGTGTTCAGCTTGTGATTTTCTCTGTCATCTCAACCTCACTACTAAAGAAAATGCTTGTTGGCAAGAAGGTTCTACTAGGCCAAACAGAAAGACTTTCAGTCTGGCATTTTGAGCAGAAGCTTGTGCCTCAGTTGCTGGTATTCTATGCTTTGTTCTCACTGAAGGAGTTTAGTTTCATCAAAATCTGCCTAGGGATAATGTCCACCTATTACCCTCCTGATGAAGGCTCCTTGATGTATGTTCACTTAATAGTTTTGTGGTTTTGCTGGGCTTGATTAGGGTTCCCATTCCCACAGTGTTCCCAGTTGGAGTTCTAACAGGAGCTGAATCTGATTCTGTTCAAATCACTTAGCTGAAGGTAACTCAGCTAGCCATGTGCCTTACACTGCACCTTTACATGGTGGTGGTTTTCGTCCTGGCCATAGCACAGCTAGAAAGATAGAAGATACCCAAGACATTATACAGTCCTCTTGCTCTAGACAGTGTCCTAGAGGACGTATTCTGGATAACTATTTACCACTGTCACTGTTCAATTTGAAGCAGGAAATTTAACCTGTTTTCCTTTCACTAGCCTCAAATCTACAGGAGAGAAACTTCACTACAAATTAAGAATGCAGAAAGGCCTTACTATATTCACCACCTGAGCCTTTCAAATGGTCTGTGAAGTCATGTGCTCTATTGTGGAGAGGTTCAAGGCAGTGAGTATGTCTCTGAAACAAACGGGGTGTCTTTACCAAGATGGAGCAGCCTTTGGAGGTTAGAACATCTGCCATAGCCACACTTGTGATGCGTAGCTGCCCAAAGACTGAACAGACTAATAGACATCTTGAAGAAACTTGGTTACTGATCACTATGCCTATCTGTTGCAGGAAAAATTGATTTTATCTTCCCAGGAAATTTTTAATGTGCTGATATCTTAAAGTGGTACCTGTTAATTGATAATGAATTTTAAATGAGCTTTAAGCAATTAGATGCACTTTGTCTCAATTTTTTGCTACACAGAAGGGCATTTAAGACCATTGTAGAACCTCACTCGTACTAACTTTGATTTATGACAGCTTTGACTGCTGTCCTTTTTACTTATATTTAGATTTTTGCCTCGGGGGTGATTTTCGTCAGTTTGAAAAGTATATGCAATTTTATATTTGTAGTCATCCGAGTTTGGTAGTAAAGGTAACAATACAATTATAAATATTAACTAGTTTGTAGTTTTATCATTTTAAGTGATACACCATGTTGAGACTGTGAATGTTTTACTTAGGATTGGGTAGTAATGCACCTCATAAAGCATGTGAAGATTGGAAATTCAGTTGAGAGATGTGTTAATGATCTCTGGGCATCCTGCCTTGACAGATACACGTGGTGCTGATGGTAGATCATTTCATCTCAGTTTGGCAGTTTTATCATTCAAAACGACATACAGTCCTATTACATATGTGGGGATGACATAGCGTGAAAAATCCCTCTGATGTTGGAGGGATCTTATTACTACTGCATTAATTATTGTATGTCAAGGGAAAGGGCAGATAAAATAGTCTTCAGATAGTTGAAAATACTGAGCAGACACTATGAGTTTTCTTACATAACTAAGGAAAGAATTGTCAGCTATGTTTAAAATCTCACTGTAATGAACTTTACCAAGTTTTTTGAGTACTGTTTTCTTTTAAGCAGTGTTTTCTTCTCTCCTATAGCAGCTAATTTTATGTAAAATTAATTCAGTTGCTCTCATCTGGTTTTGACAAGAGCATTTATACTTGCTTTCCTGTCAGAAGAAGTAAGAAAGGAAAATACTGAGTTCCTGTTTCAGCCTGCTGGCTTCTTTTTGGTATAATCTCTGTAGCAAGATCCTTCAACTAGTCCCAGTGTTTCCAGGGTCAGGGCACAGCAGAGAGGCTTACCAGTTGAACACCAGCCTTGCGGAAAAAGCCAACAACCATTTCTTGCCACTCAGTGAGCTCCAGAATAGAGCCGGGGGTTGTGTTCTTCCCTGGTCCAAGCCAAAAAGTACGAAGTCATGATACCCTCTTCAAACAAACAGGTATGTCAGTACTGCAGGTTGAGTCGGGGAACATGGTAGTGCTGTGACCCAAAAGTTGGGCAGCATTTTAGTTTAAGGTTTTACAGGGAGTGGGGCCGAGTTCAGCAGGAGAAAAGGGAGGCTGTTTTGGGTTAGTGTTTATCACAGCAGGGGTTGTGGGCTGGCAAGAAAGCAGTGAAACTACCAAACATTGAAAAGTAATGTGAAAGGGGAAGGTGGGGGATCAGAAGAGGCTCTGATGAGCCAGAAGGAGGAAGATGTTGTTGGAAAGCTGGGAGACCACTGACCATTTCTGGAGAGAGACATGAGAACTTCCTGCAGTGCAGGTTTTACTGCAAATAGCTGTTCAAACCATGCCTTAACACGTCTAAAAAAACAATTCCAAGATGTTTTTCAATGCAGCCCTCATTCCAGGATAAAGTTTGGGCTTTGTGTAAGTTCTGAAAGACTATGTATTGGTTTAGAATGTTACAGCAGTAGCATAGGTGCCTTCATACAAAATAATCATTGTTTCAGCAAATTCAATAGTGTATACATATATAGTCATCTTGTTCTGCAGTTTGCTGTTGAAAGCAAACGCAAACTACAGCAGCGACCTTTCATCTGTTTCTCTCTGTCATGGTTAAAATGCCTATTTTTCATGTTCATAATCAGTTCAAGTACCTGACTTAAGTTCATTGGTGTTGCTTGCAGAAAAGTAAATAAACCAATGAACTAGAGAGGGATATTTGAAGCGTAAGTGTCTTTACTGAGGCTGGGTTTGAGTTCAAGTATTTGTTTAGCTCAGGTAACTTACTGTGAATAGTGCAATAAACCAGCCAACCTGGTTTGCTTCTGTTTTGCTTCCTTTTCTGAGGCAGTGCATGCCTTCTACGTTTCTGCCAGGGCATGCTTTGCCTTGCCTTTATGTTAGCTATTGTGATTGTACCTGTTGGAGGGGTCTCCAAGAGACTACACAATAGTTTGCGGTTTTCTTAATGCTTTCATGAAGGATTCTTGCACAACACTGTGAATACTGATGAAGGTCTTGTTGCATGTGATAAAAGTATTTTATAGAGGATGAAAAGAAACTACAACCACAAAGTCAGCAAATTCCTGGGCACATGCTAGATTTTGGGTTGGGAACTATCCCACTGAAGTAAACGTACAGTTCTTGCTCGCTAATGGTTTTCCTTAAACGAAGGACTAAGAACTCTATTTTACAGGCTGAACATCTGCTTTTTGATGTTTCGTCCCTTTTTAGTAAAGGGGTAGGATCAAGTATGTCTTTCTAGAGCATTTAATGTTGTCTGTAAAGCAAGAAAAACACAAGTTTAGCATGTTCAGTCTACTCCTGCGTATGGTCTAGCGGTTTCTAAAACATAGTGTTGTTTCTGCATTCACATAAACCTTGTTTTTTCAGGTTGCTCAGTAGCATTAAGGTGAGTCTGCGTTACAGAAATTTGAAAAATGGGTTCCTGCGTGCCTCGGATGTGTGCCTAGCCGTACCGGAGACCGACGTAAAGCAACGATGCAACGTTTGTTAGCATGGAACTAGTGCCGAATTTATTTTTTTTTACTCCCAGGACTGTTTTCTGTTCATATTCTCTCTACAAGAATGCTTAACCCCGCTTTGTTGAAATCGATTTTGTAAAAAGGTAAGGAAAGGCTGAAAGCAATTACTTCCTGAAGCTTTACTACGCC